CCCCCCCCCCCCCCCCCCCCCCCCCCCGCGTGCATCAAGCTGTGTAAACAGAGCTGCCATTAAGACCAGATTGAATGTGTGCGGCTGCTTTGAACTCCAGCATCACCGGTAATAATGCACTGATCGATCTGTCCATTGTGTAAAGTAATCAAATGGATGATGGTGGATTAAACCCATGTATTCCCTCTTAAAAAAAGGTTCAGCAAAGGAGTCAATTTGAAGCTGTAGTCTCTTGTCTGACCACTTTGTGGCTTCTCAGAGAGGTACATGGATGTACAGGCCCTGCAATTACATGACATACGTTTGCTTTCTTCTCGTTTTTCAAAGCGCTCCAAAGACCACAATACCAAATACAAAGTGATGTGTTTATTGTTTGAGTAACTGGAAAATTAGATGCTTCTCTTAGTACCCAGTTTTCTGAAACTTATGATTATTTTAGGGCTTGGTCAGCCTGTTCCAGAAAACCTTATCATGTTTTGTTAGAATTAGATCAGTACAGGCATTTATCTAAATAACTTAAGAACGCACTGTACCACCTCTAAGAGAAACTAATGTGTTGGTGCTTCAGTGCAATGGGCATCGGAGCTTGTTTTGGATTTGATTGATTATTGTTTATGATGTGGAATGTGGATGTTCTCCAAATAACGAATGGAAGAAAGTGTCTATTTGTAGCATGTTGAATGCAATTGAAAGAGATGACCCGCACCCTCACAAAGCTGTTTTCAAAGCCCAAGTGCTCAAATGATGACACAGTATATCATTCACATAAGTGTGTGTTTTTTTTTAAAAATACGTGCTTTACACTAGTAGACGGAGAAGTGATCTGAGTGTGTGTGTGTGATCCTGTGCACTCGGGTGAAGGCGATTACCACTAATCCTCTTTGTAGCCAGAGAAGTTGGAGCGTTTCTCAGCACGACTCGCTCTAAGTGTAGTGTTTTTGAGATTTGTAAAGCATCTCCCCTGGTGTAGATGATCACACGGTGCAGTTAGTCATTCTAAACCATGCCTGTAGTTAGAACACCTTGTTTGTCAGAATATCTGCTACTTCACAGCAGCTCTGCGGCACACAGCATGCACAAGTCAGTATTTTGCACATTTTTCCGATAGCTACAAACTAAACCCTCCCTCTCTCCCAGTATTGCTAAGTCTTCTCCCTGTATACACACTGTTAGACCACCTCTGCGATGCGAATGCTATCCCTGTCTGTTCTCTGTTCCCTTGCTTGGAGAATTAAACCATCACTCCATCACTTTCTCCATCTGTGCGCACACTCTCTCCTTTTTCCCCTGTTTCTCTTCTTTCTCTCTCTCACTCTTTAGACCCTTAAAAGGAGGTGTTCTCTAAGCTCCTATTGTCATCAAATTAGGGCACATATGGCTCGCAGCTTCATACCGCCGTCATATAAAAAGCAAATGGGCATGATCTTATTTGGTAAGGAAGCGGGCTGGTGGTGGTCTTAGCAGTCGGTAGCTGCCACCTTGAGAAAGCGAGGACTTAAACTGGGACTTCAGGGAGAACATCTGGTTAACATTAACTCTGTCGCTAGTCTCCTTCGTTTGATTTTGAACATGATTTCGTAAGTGTAGTAGTCCTGTGAACGTGCATGATACAAGTAGTCCATAGGTATTTAGCTATGACTGGCTTATGAGCAATGCTATACTGTACTTCAACACTTGGATTCACGTGACAGAAGCGCTGATTGTGAGACACACGAGTCATATTTTCGTGTTGAATACTCTGAATTTCAGCTCAAAGGCTCATCGGTATGGCTCTGATGATATTTTTCCACTTGAACTGTTATGTTTTTTTTTTCCCGTCCAAACCTCTCTGAATCTGGAAGCTGCAACCTCAGAGTGCGAGAGAGAGAGAGAGAGAGAGAGAGAGAGAGAGAGAGAGAGAGAGAG